CCGCTGCCGAGCCCGCCCCGGTGCCCAGGAGGGTTTGGGACAGTCCATTCCCTGTGCCGTGGACGGGTGAAGCTGGGAATGGGCCGAGGAGGCTGTGGGCCCTCCATGCCCGATGGGACAGGGGTGAAACCAGCTGCAGAGGGCTGTTAAACAGACTCCTCGTTCCGGGCATCGTCTTGTCTGTCTGTTACCACCAGAGAAGCTTCCTGAGCGCCCTCCTCCTGCTCCCCATTCACGGCCGCACAAGCACTGAGGTTGCCAGTGCGCAGCAGAGACCTTTGCTTTGGAGGAGGGCAGGAGCAAAGCCCAGGAGCTGGGATATACATGTCCTCAAGCCTCTGCCTCAGCAGCAGTTGGTCTGTCCAAGGACCCAGATGCTCCTGGATGCCTCCCATAGCAGCGATCCGTGCCCCAGCGGTGCCAAACGCCCAGCCAGGGGCATGTGGCCACTTGCCGAGGTGGCCCCTGCTGGCAACAGGGACGGGGACAACAGCTTCCTTGTGGCTTTTTATAGATTTTTCCAAATCAACGGAGAGTTGCTCCAACAGGCAGAATCCTCCCCGGGGCCGGGCTTGGAAAGTGTCCCCAGGGCCAGCAGCAGCTCCGCATCCGCGTCGGCTCCGCTCACCTGGCTCCAGGCGGATGCTGGAGCGGCCCCGTCACCGCCGGAGCCGGCTCCCTGCGCAGAGGCAGGACTAAATTGGCACAACACACACAATGACCTCTTGTGGAATGTAGTATGAATATTTGATAGGGCTAATGTAATCATATCCAATCGATAAAGGCAGGAATATCTCTCCCCGCTCCTGCGCTCTCACTCTGCCCTGTCCCTTCCTCTCTTTTCCTCTCTCTCCCTCACTCTCTCTTTCATTAATGCATTCTCCATTTTACATTATTTATTAACTTCCTTCCTTTTTTTTATTTAGAAAAAAAAACAAATTAAATAACAGTGGTTATCTGGAGGCTCAGGCCCTCCTGCCAAAGCCCCTTTGGGCCGGGCTCAGGCCCCTTGCTGACCTTCCCCGCTTGCTTCCCCTCTCCGTGCAGGCAGAGGCTCTGCCCCGGCCCCGGCCCGCGGACGCTCCTGCCGCTGCCGCGGCC